CCAAAATATAGGGAGAAGAAAGCTGACCAAATAAGAACTTAAGGAGAGAAAATGGTGGTCTCTGGGTTACACATGACCCATAAAGGAAGAAGATTCTAGAAACTCAGACAAACAAATATATTTTTTTTTTCAGGATGAAATACCTGAAAATAACTTAGCAGTTAGAAACACTTGCTGCCTGATGGAAGGTGTCATTCTGTGTGCTGTGACTATGTGTTTCTCTTATTGATTAATGAATAAAATTGTTTTGGCTAACGCTTAACAGAGTAAAGCCAGACAGGAAATCTGAACAGTGATAGAGAGAGGTAGTAGGCAGGGTCAAGGAGATGCCATGTAGCCTCCAAGGAGGCAAGATGCCAAGGCATCACTTAGGTAAGCCACAGCTACGTGATGATACAGATTTACAGAAATGGGTTAATTAGTAGGTAGAGCTAGCCAATAATAAGCCTGAGCCATTGGCCAAATGATTAAAATAGATATAAAGCCTCAGAGTGATTATTTTATAAGCGACTGTGGGGACCCAGGGGGTGGAGAGGAACTGGTCTAGCAGGACCCAACTAAACAGAGAAAAGAATCCCTCTACAGCTCTCTTGTGGAAGACCCAGGTTCTGTTCACAACACCCACATGGCCACTCACAACTTAACTCCAGATCCAGGGGATCCAATGGCCTCTTCTGGCATCCTTAAGAGTGTACATAACTGTAGGCAAACACTCTTACTCATAAAGTTAAAAATAAACTTTTAAAATAGGAGTCGTGGGACTGTGGAGATAGGTCAGTTGGTATGTTTGCTTAACATGCATGAAGGCCTGGGCTTGATCCCCAGCACTGCATGAAAAACAGGGCATGTTGCTGGGTGGTGGTGGTGCACACCTTTAATCCCAGCACTGGGGAGGCAGAAGCAAGTAGATCTCTATGAATTCAAGGCCAGCCTGGTCTACACAGTGAATCCCAAGACTGCCAAGGCTACACAAAGAAACTCTGTCTTTTTTGCAGCAGACACACACACACACACACACACACACACACAAAATCAAAAACAAAACAAGACAAAAACAGGGCATGGAGGCAGAAGCAAGAGAACCAAAAGACAAGGTCATTCTTAGCTACATATTGCATTTGGTTAGATGAGATCCTATGTCAACAACAGCAACAACAAAAGCATTAATAAACAAGCTCGAAACAAATGAAAAACAGTAGAGTCTCAGACAGAAATAGAAGTTATAAAAACGAACCACAATGAAGTCTTTGAATTTACATATATGAAAACATGGTAGTGGAAATGAAAATACCCCAGAGGTGGGGATGCGGAAGATTTGGTGAGCGTTGAAACAAGCTGATAGAACAATCTGGACAAAGGACCAGAGCCCCTTGTTGCTCTTGTAGGAGACCAGGTTAGGTTCCCTTCCCGACCTTCCACAACTCTAGCTCTAGAAAAGCTAACATCCTCTACCTCCATAGATACCAGGAAGTCACATAGCATACATACACACAAGCAATCAAAAGACTCACATGCAATCAAAAGACTCACATGTATACAACAAAATAAATAAATTAAAACTTGTAATGTTAATAAACATGGAGAGCATGGTAGACTCTACCTTCACTCCATACACAGGTATACACATGTCCACATGCACATATGCACACACACTGACAATTATATACAACACACTCATACATAAAGCAAGAGAAAAATGACTTACATCTGGGGAAAACTGAATGACAAGTTGAATTCTAATCTGGGGTCATCAGGTTGGAAGGAAATACTACATGTTTTATGAGTGCCAGCAAAAGTAGGGGAGGGGAATAATCAACCCAAAATTCCACATCCCAGGAAAGACCTCTTGGGAATGAAAAGACAACCAAGGAGAAAACAAGATAAGTGATCAGAAAACCTACAAGAAAAATGGCTAAATATAGTTCCCCAGGACTGGCAAAGTGGCTCAGTTCGTAAAGGTGTCTGGCAACCCCAGTTTGAAGTCCATGGTCATCCAGGGAAGATTAGAAGGAGAAAACCAACTCCATAAAGTTGTTGTGTGGCCTCATACATGGGCTGTGGCATGCATATCCATAACACACACACTAAAAATAAAATGAAATAATAGATGTATTTCACCAAACAGAATGAAAAGGATAAAAGGAGGAATCCCAGAACACCAGGAAAAAAGAGAGGGAGATTAAGAGAAAGAAGAAGAGAGAAGGCTTGTGCAAGCCACTGTCCTCTTGAGTTTTCCAACGGCCTGACTGCTGAAGCAAGGTCATCATGTTCTATGATGTGGCTGGTGGCACACAAAAAGGAAATACTTAGGGCAAGTATGCTGTGAATACGTACAGGGATATGGAAGAAGGTAAGGTTTTTGTCCTGGCTGGTTTTTGTCAATTTGACAAGCTAGAGTCATCTGGGGAAAAGGAACCTCAATAGAGAAAATGCTCCTCCATCAGATTTGCCTGTGGACAAGCCTATGAACATTTCCTTGATTAATGACTGATGTGAACTATGGATGGTACCGTCTTTGGGCTGGTAGTCCTGGATGCTATAAGCAGACCGAATAAGCCAGTAAACAGTATTCCTTCATAGTTCCTGCCTTGAGTTCCTGCTCCAACTTCTCTTCATGATGAGTAGACCGTGAAATGTAAGATAAAATAACTCTTCCCTCCCTAAATTGCTTTTGGTCATAGCATTTATCACAGCAATAGAAACCTAACTAGGACAGGTTTCTACTGATAAGGTAAAACACATACACACACCCTAAATTTTACACACACGCACACACACACACACACACACACACACACCATAAAAACACTAAAGCCAATGTAGACTTTTAAAAAAAGCATATCCTTCAATATGAAATGGATGGTATCTTCTATGTGCTAAAAAATGTTTTAAACTCTAAAGCTTTAAATCCAAACAATGTGGCTAATTTCAACACATGCTTTAATATAAATGTCTGGTGAGTTTGAGGTTGCGGTAAAATATCATATATAACACTGGGAAGCTTGGTAGGTTAGTATAAAGATTAAAAAGTTGAAATTCAATGAAATACATCTGACCTTTGTATTTGAGGTCTTGTAAGTTGGAGAGATCATTCCCAGGTAAAAGCTCACATGCAAGTGTGAGGATCTGAGTTCTGATCCCCAGAACCCAAGTAAAGCTTCAGTCCACAATAAGTGTCTTTAATCACAGTGTTCCTACAACAGGATGTGAGGAGGAGATGGGAGAATTTGTGGTGTTCACAGTGGCGAACAAGAGCCCCTGCTTCAAAAAGATGGAAGGTCAAGACATCTGAGTTTATCTGACTTCTACACACACACACACACACACACACACACACACACACACATAATGAACTCATACATCTTTATTTTGTCCTGCCAGCCTTGACATAAATAACTGTGGATGTCACACCCAAAATCTAACCATAGTTTTATATGCTAATTATTAAAAGATTCTTACAACTGCAAGCATTAAAAAAAAAAAAACATAGGTTAGCCTTATTGTATAAAGAACTCATGTTCACGGGACTAAAACCTAAGCATCCATCACTCACTAATGAGCCAAACTGGCCCCAAGTCCATAACCTCAGAAAACAAATTGCTGGTATTTTCCGTACACATCATGAAGTGGGCTCACAGAAAACAGATTTCCTGCATTCTATGGGGGTTAAGTGTTGTATGAACTTGTGCCTCAAAATTAAAAATAAATAAATAAATAAAAATAAAAATAATTGAGCTGATGTATTTCCAACTCTAACTAACCAGGGTGCTTGCTATACTTCATCACTGTAATCATCTCAGAGTGAATTCAAAAGGAACCACTTTGTTCCTCACCCAGCAGCTAACTTTTTAACTACTAATTTGGGGGGGAAAGTGGCTTTTGCTAATGAATAAACAAGTACTTATATTCATTTTAATCAGCATTCTAGCTTTTAAAAAATCTAATTATCTTTGTGCACTCATGATTTTTTTTTTTTTTTTTTAATGTTCTCCGGCTCAAGTCTTCCCACACAGAAGACTTGCCAATGTCTTTCCCATTGGACATAGGCAATCGTTTGAAAAGCGATTCTTAGAAACCAGTTGCCATGGTTTAAAGAAACCTGGAGGCTGAACACAAAGCTCATTTTGGAAAGTGCTTGGGTTGGGTCCCCAGTGCTGTATTAATTGGGTATAGCAGCACACACCTGTAATAACCAGCACTGGAGAAGTAAAGTTAGGACTATCAGAAGTTCGAGGACAGTGTTGGCTATGTAGTGAGTTCAAGGTCAGCCAGGGCTTCACAAGACCCTGTCTCAAAAGATAAAAATGGACAGAAGAAACAACTGGGAAGAAATACTCTAAAGGAGAGATCTCATTTACCATGATTGGAGAGAAAACCCTTACCCTATCTACCTCATAAATATTCATAAAAATGTATTTTAAATCCACAATACATACTGCACTGTGCTGCTATGCCCTTTTGGAGATAACCCACTCCAAACTCTGTCTCTGAAGTGCTTTGCTTTGCTTAATACACTTCTATTTACTGTTGGCATCTTTGAGCTGAATTCTTTCCTTCCAAAAACCCAGAAGGAGACACACCCTCTCCCCTCAGCACACATTCTCTTCAAATTTTACTGCAGGGGCCAGCCAATCTTTCACTGTCAAGGGCCAGACAGTAAACATATCAGACATTGCAAGCAAGTATTGTGCAGCAAGTCCTTCTGACGCAGGAAAGCAGTCATGGCCAATAAAGTAATGACTGTGGCTGCATTCCAAGAAAACACGAAGTGTTCGAGCCCAGACTGCAATCTGTCAAGTTTTGTGTCACCTAAGGAAAGTCCCGGCCTAAGGAGGGGGTCACACCGAGCTCAGCCTATGAACTAAACATCCTGGGGACAATGAGCGGAGCAGGATGAGGATTGGAGTGACACACCTGGCACCCAGGCCCGCATCTGGGATAGAGAGCGAGAAGGTGCAGAGAGAGGAAACCCCTGGATCTCAACCCGGCCCATTACTCACTCGGATACGCCAGCAGGGACGAAGGCCATAGCCACAGCACAACTAGGACCACGGGCTTCATGGGCGCCGTTCACAGCACTCCGCCATCCGACGGGAACGTCCTGGGGCCACCAGGCCGGGGTACCTAGGGCCCAAAGGTGGGGGATGTCAGCAGCCTACCGTCCCACGACAGGGCCCGGGCGCCCCGCAACGGTTGCCCCAGTGAATGGGTGGGGGCGGGGCGGCCGCGTGCGAGTTGCGCATGCGTGCTGGGGCTCAGCAGGGACTAGGAATGTCTCGATGGCGATCTACTGCTACAGGCGCTTAGGGTAGAGGCGAAGAAGCTCAGCTAGTGGCACGCTATGGTACTCCCCGGTTGAAAACACAACTGTTGCAAAGAAGTAGGTGTCTAATGGAAGAGATGACCTGGAGATTACACGGAGTCAACAGTGATGGGAATGGCTGCAGGACCCCCCCGAGTCTGCCCCCAAGAAGATGGGAGTGAGGAGTCAATTGCGGGAAGGCTTAGAACACCAAGAGCTAGGTGGTTCAGACTAGTTGCATGATTGGTTGCGGGGATGGGGTGGTGGAGATGAATGGAAGGAAGTGCTAGGGACATTGCAGACACCTTAAAGGGTTTTGGTTGTCCTTTTGATTTATAACGATTACATCCCGTACGCCCTTCCCGTTTCTTTCTTTCTTTTTGGTTTCGCAAAAGAGGGTTTCTCTGTGTAACAGTATTAGCTATCCTGGAACTCGCTTTGTTAAGCAGGCTAACATGGAACTCAGAGAGAGCGCCTTCCCCCAGCTTCTGCTTCCCAAACAGTGGGCTCTGGGATTAAAAGCATACACCACCACTCCGGGTTACAGCCCATTTCTTTGACAACAAAAAGTTAAAGTCAATGGAGAAAGATGTAATTACAAACGGATAGCATAAAAGGATTAGTCAAGGTCTTCTCTGTCCCAGATGGGCCTGGAACTATACTGCACCCAAGGATGCTTCTGCCTCCCAAACCCTGAGATTAACAGGCACCACCATGTACAGTCTCTGAGGTGCTGGGGATTGAACACAGGCTTCGTCCAAGTTAGGCAGACTCTCTGCTGACTGAGCTGCCCCCCAGTCTCAGTGAGACCACTTCTTGTAGTACTAGTCATGTGGCTACTCAATTCTATATCTGAGTTAAAATCTGTAGACTGTCCTTCTTTTTCTGTATGATTAATCTTTAAAATTCCCATGTGGTCACATCTCTGGCTCAGAAACAAGGAACTTAGTTAGAGTTTAGTCTGAGACAACGGGGAGATGCTGCAAGGTTCCTATTAGGGAAAGCTGTGATTAGATGAGCACTGTAGAAAGCTTAGTTTCCTTGCAGAAACCAGAAGATGCTGAGGAAAGCTAGAGTAGAGGCAAGACTCTAGTTAGGAGATTTGGGGATAGTGTTGCAGACCTGGAGTTCTGGGAGCGGAAGACACAGAACATGTGGACATACCTAAGAGATGTTTAGAGTTTAAATCAGTAAGATCATGCTGAGAGGGGTGGAGACAGGATCAAGAGTTGAAGGCCTACTATCTAGGCTACATGAGACCCCATCTCAAAACAAAGTTTAGGGGGTTGTTTAAATGTAGAGAAAGAAATAATATGAAATGGTGCCCAGATTTCTAGTAAATCATTTGGGTATTTGATATACATGTACTGAAATGGGAAATGTAATACCTTTGGAGGAGGATAAGGAATTTTATGCTCAATATTATGGCAAACCGGACTTGAGACCTGCAGCTGGAGTTGGTCTATCCAGAGAGGAGTTGGATGTGGCCCAGGGAGAAGGTTGAGGTGGAGGCTGAGTTATGGAAGGCTTGAGTATCTGAAAGCAGGACTGTCTGAGATAGATCAAGAAGAGTCAGCAGATGGAGCCGTCCATGGTCCTAGGATGGAAAGAGGCGGGCTAGAGAGAAAACAATGAGATGAGTGCAAAAGAGTCCCCAAAGGATTGGTGGTGGTTGTGAGGAAAGCAAAAGAGCAAGATGCTTCATGGCAGGGTCTTAGATGCTTCCGAAAAGACAAATGAGAGAGAGGGAGACAGACAGACACACATACATACACACACACACAGAGGGGGGGGAGAGGTAGGGCTAGCTTTAGCTACAAGGCTCTTGACAGGAACCATTTCAGTAAAGTGGTTTGGGGAGAAGCCAGACCATGCTGAGTCAGGGATGAGTAAGAGGTGACAAAGTCGTGACAGCTTGCATGGTACTGTTTCAAGCTTGGTTCGTGAGTCTTCGAGGCACTCCAGCAGTGCTCAACCCAAATATAGCAGAATGCTGGAATCAAACAGTTGGAACTGTTTGGAAAGCAACTTGGAATATGTAACAAAAGCAGTAACATAATATACACACTGTGATATAAATTCTGTAACAAATTTAGGGGGAGAATTTAGGTTCCAAGATAACATAACTTGTAACACAGAGACAGCCAAATGCAAAGAGGATATGGAACTAAAGGTCCCCACTGGTCCTCATCCTCATGTTGAAATCCTAACCCACAACATGATGAGAAAGGGATGGAGTTTTTGAGAGATGACTAGATCATGGGGTGGAATCTTCAAGCATAAGATTAGTGCCCTAAAACAGAGACCCCGGAGATTCTGTGTAAGAACATGGCAAAGAGTCATCTGCGGAGAAGCAGACTTCCAACAGACACCAAATCAGCTTTCCCACCTTCCGTATTTGAAATAAATTGTTGTTTAAACCATCTGATCTGGCCAGGCAGTGGTGGCACACACCTTTGATCCCAGCACTCGGGAGGCAGAGGCAAGAGGATCTCTGTGAGTTCGAGACCAGCCTGGTCCCCAAGAGCTAGTTCCAGGACAGGTTCCAAAACCACAGAGAAACCCTATTTCAAAAAACCAAAAAAAAAAAAAAAAAAAAAAAAAAAAAAAGCATCTGATCTGTGCTGTTATTTGGTACAACAGTAAGCCATCTTTGTAGAATAGTGTGCAACCAGGGGCTGGGGGAATGGCTCATCTATTAAAGGGCTCATGTGAACATGAGACCTTTGTTCTAATCCTCAGCATACATGTAAAGAGCCAGGTGTGGTAACTCAGTGCCCATAACCCCAGCAGTGGGGAGGTGAAGACAGGAGGTCTCTGGAGCTTGCTAGCCAGCCAGTCTAGACAAATCAGACAGCTCTGGGCTCAGTGAGAAATCCTATCTCAGAAAGTAAGGCTGAGTGTGGTTGAAGAAGACACCTGATGATGACCTTTGGTCTCCATGTGCATGAACACACATGTGAATGCAACACACACACACACACACACACACACACACACACACACACACATATATATATATATATATAACCCACACAGCCATGGCATGTGCTAAACCATTCTATTTGGTTTTGGGGGAGTCGTGAAGGGTTCTGCCTGCCCTCTGCTGCTGTCTCCTTTTCCTTGCTCTCCTTCTTTAGATGGCCACAGCGCATCTCAAATTCTCATTTACTGTATTTTATTCCTTCTCTTAGCCCAAAAGATTGGAGTAAACCTGGTTAGACAGAAATACGTGTCTCTCTAGAGGAAGAAGCACACCAGGAGAACCTTCTCCATCATCACACACTTCCCAGTGACCATGTCGTATCCTGCTGTTATAAGTGAACCATGAAGTTCCTTCCCACTGTTGCCCCGCCTACTCAATACCATTGCATTTTTTTTTTCACACCCCAGATGTCAAAAGTCACTTCCAAGCCTGGTTTGGTCCAATGTTTAGAAAAAGAATTCAGTCTCATTACTTACTAAATGAATCCCTGGGCTGGGTGGTGCTGGCACACACCTTTAATCCCAGAACAAAATGAATCCCTCCCTGGCTCAGCAGTTACTGTTTTTCCTGAGGATCCAAACTTGGTTCCCAGCACCCATACCCAGTAGCTCACAACCAGCTGTAACTCCAGCTCTGGTGTCGAGCATGCTGGGCTCTGCAAACACCTTCATGACATGTACACACATCCATATACAGGCACATATGTAAAAATAAAAATAAACCATTTTTAAGTGATTGCATGCATGAATGAATGTGCCTCCTCTTGTCCTCTTGCCTCTTATGTGACATACATGTAAGTGTGTGGGTAAACCATGTGGAAGCCAGAGCAGGTGTCCTAGCCTGCTTTCTGTAGTTGTTATAAAACACTGACCACACCTTCAATCCCAGGTCTCCGTGAAGTCGGGGCCAGCATGATCTACAGAGTGAGTTCCAGGACAGTCAGAGCTACACAGAGAAATGCTGTCTGAAAGAACAAGAATAAACTAAAGTGAAACACTGACCAGAAGAAGTTGGCAAGGAAAGGGTTTATTCAGTTTACAGGTTGCCCTATCACTGAGGAAAGTCACAGCAGGAACTCAAGGCATTCATATGGAGGCAGGAAGCTAAGCAGAAGCCATGGAGAAATGCTGCTTGCTGGCTTGCTCCCTATGGCTCAGCCTGCTTTCTTATGCATCCCAGAACCACATGCCAAGGGATGGCACCACCCATAGCAGGCTGCCCCCTCCTGTCAATCATTAACCAAGAAAATGTCCCATACACATATTCACAGGCAATCTGGTAGAGACATTCTTCAACTGAGATTTCCATTTTCCAGGTGACCTTAGTTTGTCAAGTTGACAAAAGCTAACCAGAATAGTGTAATGTTTTCCTCTACCACTGTCTACTGTGTTGCTGCTGAGAAAGTCACTGAACTGGCATCTCATTGTTTGGGCTAGGCTGGCTAGCTGATGAACTTTAGAATCCACCTATCTCTGCCTCCTAGTTCGGGGGTACAGACATATGCAGCCATACCTGGAGTTTTAGGTGAGGACTGGGGTTTCAAACCTAGGCCCTCATGGTTGAAGAGTAAGTGCTCTATCCACTGAGCCATCTACCCTTCTAACCTTGTCTCCGAGATTCATCCATCTATCGACCCAATCAATCTAAACATCTAAAGACATTCTCTAAGACACGAGTGATGACTTGTGCCTTGTGCCTATAATCCAGCACTTAAGAAGCTGAGGCAGAAAGATTACCTTGAGTTTGAGGCCAGTTTGGGGATTGTAGGGAGAAAAGATGTTCTCTGGGAGAAAAACACAGGTTCTGGCAGAGAAGTAATTCTGCCACGCGAGGGCAGCAGAGCCTCACCAATGACAGGGATGGCACTTGCATCTCCCGCTGAGAATCTAGAAATTGGCTTTTGATTTTGCTACTGTGTAGAATATTTTGCTATTTATTGTGCACTTTGCTTTTTGTACTTTACATTTTAAATACACAAAATATTGTGCAGTAATGTCTTAAATAATTCAATAAGGAAAGCCACTATGTGCTAAAAGCTCCCCCCTCTCCCCTTTTCTATAGGCTGGTTTGAGGAAGGTTGCCTATTGACTCTTTTTTCCAGTTCCTGTGCAGCTGCTCTGCAGACAGCACTGTGCTGAAAGC